CATTTGTACTTAGCCTGATTCCCCTCTCCCACTGCAGGCATTTGTACTTAGCCTGAATTCCCTCTCCCTGTGCAGGCATCTGTACTTACCCTGATTCCTCTCTCCCGCTGCAGGAAAATTAAGGCACAGCGTGATTAAATGTGTTGACTGAGGTCACACAGCTTTAAATACCAGAGCTAAGATTCAGACTCATGTCATGGGATCCTACCCAGGTGCCTTCCTTGTCCGTTAAGGGTCAGAGCTGACTTGGGAGAAAGGGCAGGGCCCTCCCCTGCCCCTGAGCCAGGCCAGTATGACAGACCCATAGACCCACAGGGCACAGAGCCATTAGACCCCAGCCATTAACTGGCCACTGCTGTCTCGCAGGATTGTCTCCACCTTGTCACCCGACCATCTCCAGCTTGCTCCCTCGGGGGACAGCTTCCCCCACTGGGCACCCCACATTGGGCATGGGACGCACGTAATCTATATTCTCACCTGTCAAAAGGAGGTCACCTCTGCCCCACCCACCTCACCAGAGCCCCGAGAACCTCAGGTCAGGTGTGGAGGGATGTCTTGTGCAGTCCTGCCAGGGGGGTGTGGATGGCGTCTGAGTCCCAGGCCCAGGAGCCACACGGGCTGTGCGCAGAGCATAGACCCTAAACCCAAGCTGACGACCCCACCTGGCCACAGGGCTGTCACAGCTGAGCCGCGTTAACGTGCCCCTGTGCCAAACACTGCACCTAGCACCTAGGAAGCCCAAGCACCTGGGCCCTTGTTCTGGATGCCAGTGAAGGACTGGTGGCCCAGGGCTGAGCACAGCACCGTGGTTGTGTCCGTGGCTGCGAGAGCTGATGGGTACCACGTGCTGTTGGATTTAATATATTTAAGAGAAGCTTGAAATTCAGGGTTTTTTTTCAGGGTGGGGATGGTTCTTGGGGATTGAACTCAGGGGCACTCGACCACTGAGCCACATCCTCAGCCCTGTTTTGTACTTCAAAAGAGACAGGGGCTCACTGAGTTGCTTAGGGCAAAGTTTCTGAGGCTGGCGTTGAACTCGAGATCCTCCTGCCTCAGCCTCCCAGAGCTGCTGAGATCAAAGGTATGTGCCACCACACTCAGCCTTGAAATTCAAATTTTGGGGGGCACTCATTTTGCTCTTAAGTGGGACTACAACTGTCTCATGGGCCACTTTTGGGACCTCTGGACTCAGTCCCCAGGGCTCCCTCTATAGTCCTAAACGTGTGTGTTACGCCTCTCAGCTGCCACTGCCCCCGCAATCCTCCTGGTCACCCTTCTCTCCCTGTCCTGGGAGAAGGTGGACAGGTCATCTGTGGTCTGGCCCGTGGTCCTGTCAGTTGAAGCATCCACTGATGGACTTGATACTAGCTAGCCAGGTGGGCTGGGGGTGCTGCGGATGGTCCCGAGGGCCCTTCCTCCTCCCATGGGCCTCCTGGGAGTTTCCCACTTAGGAGATTGATCCAGTTGCAAGTTGGGAGCAAGAGACAAGCTCTTCTTGGCACCCTGAGGCCACTCACCCAGATGGCACAAAGCTCAGGGCCCCCAAAATATTGGAGCAGCAGTAAGCTGGGCTCAGTGGCACATGCCTGTAATCCCAGTGGCTTGGGAGGCTGAGGCAGGAGGATCGCAAGTTCAAAGCCAGCCTCAGCAATGGTAAGGCGCTAAGCAACTCAGTGAGACCCTGTCTCTAAATAAAATGCAAACTAGGGCTGGGGATGGGGCTCAGTGGTTGAGTGCCTCTGAGTCCCATCTCTGGACCCATCCCCCCTAAAAGACTAGAGCATAAGGTAGGTCCCCCCAGGCCCCCAGGTCAGGGGCTAGAGGGACCTCAGGACCTGGGAGGGCGTCCTGCTGTGGTTGCAGCCAAACCTAGAAGCCCTCCCTCCTGAGGTCCCGCCAGTCCCGAGCGTGGTGGAGTGGGAACACCGGGCCTTTGTGGTCAGACAGGGCTGGGCTCCCTCCCTGGCACTGCCCTTCCCTGAGCTGCCAACCCCCTTCTTGGCACCTTGGCAACCCTTCCTCTTGGGCCAGGCCAGTTGAGCTTGGCACACCTAGGAGCCCGCCTCACAGGGACCGCCCACAGCCCAGGACGTCTTTGTCGTCCCCTCTGCCCACACAACAGCGGTGTGGCCTCCTTGATGCAGGGGACCCCCAGAGCGAGACCCCGGGACCTCTTCAAGGAACGCAGGGCTTTCCCAACCCTGAATTTGACAAGACGCCCTTGAAGGTCGCCCCGAGACCCCTGGTGTTCCTCCGTGGAGCGCAGAACATGGCTCAGGCTAGGTGCCAACCCCAGCCTCCTCGGTACCAAGGTTTCTCCAGAGCCTCAGGGTCTGCAGCACTGGCCCAGCCAGCCGCCCTGTGCCCGGAAGCCCTTCTGGCTCTGTGGCAGAAGGCAGGACATTCAGTGTGTCCTGGGGCTCAGAGCGTGGGACACAGGACCCCAGAACACCAGCAGGCGCAGGAGCCGCTCCCCAGAGGAACCCGCGAGACACTCTTGGTTGGAGGAACAGCCGAAGGGTGGCATCTGTGGGGACAGGGCCCACCTGGTCATGCACACACCACCTTGAACAGGTCGGGCACAGGGGGGCGTGGCTGACAGGCCAGCCTGCAGGACCCCAGGACCCTCGGGGGGAAACACCCAGAACCATCCCAAGCCCACCCAGCCGTGGTTCTCGGGCCCACCCCACCCCCGACCGCTGACCTGTGTGTCTCCTCTCCACAGGGCCTGGCGGGTCCCCGAGGACAGCCGGTGGGTACCTCCTCTTCCCAGTCCCCGGCAGAGAGGTTTGGGGCCCCTTTATCCTGGACTTTGACCCCTAACTCTCTCGTTTCTGTCTCTTTGCAGGGACCCCCAGGGCAGAAAGGAGAAAAGGTGGGCACAGGGTCGGGTGGGGGGGGGCTCCTGGGACGTCCTTTCCACACGGCTTCCTGACAGCCGGGGAGGGGTCGCCGTGGTCATTTTCAAACTTGAGTTAGATGAACAGGGACAAAGAGAGCCCTGGGGCCCCAGAGCACGTGAGGACAGGGAGGGAGGCGGGTGGGGGCAGGCCCTTCTTGGGCCGAGGGCGCCTGCTCTGACCCTGGCCCTCTTCAGCTCCTTTCTCTTTCCCTCCCGCCTGCCACACCACGGTGGGCCCTGGCCCTTGAGCCTTCAGGGTTACAAGGCACCGATTTGTAACCATTGGTACTCTCGGCCCAGGGAAGGTGTCCTCTGCCTTGGGGACTGCCATCAGGACTGGCGGGTGGTCACTCCCAACGCTGCAGGCGGTGTGCTGCGGGATCCCGCCCCGTGCTCCCTGGGGCGATTTCCCAACAGCTCCGAGGGGTTTGTCCCTGATGGCAGCCGGGGACAAGGTCTCAGAGGGCTCAGACCAAGGCCTGGACAACAGGTCTCGTGGTGGAGAGAGGCTTGGTGTGTCCATTGGTCTTGGGGGCCCTGAGGATCAGGCCCCCCAACAAGGACCTAATCACCCCTTTCCTTCCCTCCCCTCTCCAGGGTCAGTGTGGCGAGTACCCACACCGGGTAAGTGAGCCCCCAACTGGGCAGGGCCCTTTGACCCCTCCCTGAGGCACAGTCCCACTAACCTCCTCTCCCCAGAGTCGGTGGCACCCCGGGGCCTGGGGAACGGGAGGCCACAGCCCACAGCGCTCAGCCCGAGGAGAGAGGCACAGGGTGGTGGTGTGCTGAGTCAGCCCAGCTGACCGTCCAGGGGACGGGGACCATTGTGTGTGTTTGTGTGGGGCTGACTTCAAGTGTCTCAGTCCGTCTGTCCTTCTGTCTGCTGACTGGGTAGAGTCTCCCGAATGTTCTGGAACTGCCTGCCCCTCACCCTCTCTCTGCACCATGTGACTCGCATAGTCTGTCAAACCCCGCCCACGTCGAGAGCAAGTGTGTGCACGCGAGAGTGTCCACGTGTGACAGCCTTCCCTGGACAAATATGTGGGGCTTTGGGTTGGTCATTGCTTCATGTGACCCAATCCTGGAGGAGCAGGGATCATGGGGACTTACCCGTTCAGGGATCGAGTCTCTGCTTGGCCTATGGAGGAGAGAGGGAGCCCTCCCCTGGAGCATGGGGGGTTCCGGGCTGAGATGGCTCCTCCCCCACCACCACCTGGGGCTGCTCCATCCCAAAATATAGGACCCAGAAGGCCACTGTGGGCCCACAGGAAGTCCTCAGTGTGCACCAACAACAGGCACCGTGCTGGGCACAGGAGAGGGCAGGCTGCGCTGGGCTCCCTCCAGCAGGGCCCAGAGAGCCAGCTGAGAGCTTGTGCATGGGCAGCAAGTACAGAGAGGATGAGCCCACGTGGGTGGCCACCGCCTCTGTCATGGGCTCACTGTGCCCAGAGATGTACATGTGGCTCCCCTCGGTACCACCACTTCCAGGCAGTGTTGGGGTGGGGGACCTAGGGGCTGGAATCAAGCACAGACCAGGCTCAGGGTGGCCCCAACTCTGGAAGGCCCTGGGAGGGCCTGGCTGGCAGGGGCTCCCTCTGCCCAGCGGCCTGGTTGGCGGGAAGGCGTGCACACCTGTCTCTGACCTCTGTGTCCCTGGGCCAGAGACAGGCCACGTGGGCCTGGACCGTGAGAGGCAGGGTTAGGTCTGAGGCCGCGGCTGGGCGGGGCCTGGGCTGGGGGACCCGAGCCGGCAGCAATGCAGACAGAGCTGTGTGGCGTGGGCTCCCGGGGCGCAGGGCCTCGTGTTCCCGCCTGATCCCGATAAATAACAGAAGGGCAGCTGGGTTGATTTGAAATGATGGGCTCACGGGATTGTTGTTACCTGAGAGGAAGACAGCATCCCCCGGCCCAGGGACAGCTCGCCCGAGACACTCAGGCAGCGTGTCATTGGCCCTGAAGGAACGCTTGGGGAAGGAGAGGACGGACCCTCTGCCCCTCAGCCCAACACAAGGAGAGGGAAGAGAGCAGTGATGGAAGGTTCCAGAAGCACCCTGGCCACAGAGTGCAGCCAAGCATAGCCTTAGTCCTGAGGGACTAGGGAGGGACACCTGCTGGGCACCCTGTTGATGGACAGAGCACGTTGACTTAGAAGAGGGCGGGACGCAGGGGCTTCTGACAGCCCGCTGACTTCCACGTGGGCCTGGGGCATGGCGGGGTGGCCGGCCTCCCCGAGAGCCAGGCTGGGTTGCTGGAGTCAGGGTTCTCCCTCTCCCTCTGCCCATCACCCTGTCTCTGCCGCCTTCGTCCCCCAACCAGGAGAACCCGAGCAGCACCCCAGCGGCTCTGCGCTCCAACCACATAATTACCCTGAAGGTTGGTAGGTCCCGGAAGGTCTCTGGCCCCTCTCTGCTGAGAGGCTTCCTGGACACCAGGCCCAACATGGCACACCCCCGGCCCCCCTAGCAGGAGGGGTAGGGCCCTGTGAGTGGCAGCTGCCTGTGGTGGAGACCTGGACGGACCCCTCCGCCAGGGGCTTCCAGTTCCTCAGCTGGACACCTTCTTGGAACAGGTGCCTCCTGGTTCTTAAGGTTCCTTGCAGGAGCCTCCCCTTAAAGTGCTTTTGAAAACAAGTGGTTGATTCCATCTTGGCACATGGATTCTAACTGCTTCCTAAAGCCGTGGGTCACTCGGCATTCAATGCACAGAGGGACGGGAAGCAGCAAAAATGTTCAGAAATAAAAATCACATTAAGGAACCAGACCTGGGGGCACACACCCGAATTCCTAGCTACTTGGGAGGCTAAAGCAGGAGGTCACAAACTCGAGGCCAGCCTTGACAACTTAGACCTTGTCTCAAAATAAAATAAAATTAAAAGGGCGGGTGAAAGGGCCGGTGCTGTGGCAGGGCTCTTGCCTCGCAGGCGTCAGGCCCTGGTTTTTCAGTCCCCAGTACAAAAAAAAAAAAAAATGCAAATTGTCTATTCCCTCTAAAAAGTGGTTGACCACTCCGGAGACCTCTTTACCCAGCCTGTTTTCCAAACCTGCCAGCCCCGGCGGGGGACCTCAGCAGCACTTAGCGTGTGCCCACACACACCACACCCTGGGCCGGCGCAGCCCAGGGCCCCGCTTGACATCCTCCTCAGAGTAGCTGACCTCAGCCTTTCCCGTCCTACCAAAAAAGATCCCAAAGGAGGCCGCGCACCAGCCTGACTTCAAGTACCAATTTAGCTGGTCTGTGGCTTCTGAGCCAGAGCCTCCGAGTCTGCAGTGGTCAGCGTCTGTCCACTGAGCAGGGACGGGCAGGGCTGGCCGTGCCATGTTGGGCCATGTGTCAGGCGGCCGCTGCATGGCCAAGGAGAGCCACTCCCCCATGCTGCTGGCCATGGCTGCTGGCCAGCGCCCCAAGCTCCACCCTGGAGGCCAAGGTAGGGTGCAGACCGAGGGCCACTCCTCCTTTGAGGGACAGCTGTGCCATCTAAGGGCCAGCTGAGAGTGCCCGTCCATGTCTGCCCTCCAGCCCCCAGGCTCACGCTAACCTCTCTTCTCTCTTCCTCTCCTACGACCCTCTTGGCCACTCTGCCCTCCTGGTGACTTCTGAATACCTGCGACCTTTGGCCTTTGCCCTCTGGCCTTCACCTCATCTCTCTCCTCAGCTGCTGCCTCTCCTCAATTCCGTGCGCCTGGCTCCACCCCCCGTCATAAAAAGGCGGACCTTCCAGGTAGACACCTTCTGCTTGCCGACCTGCACGAGGGACTCGGCCACTCTCTGGGCCCCACAGGCAGGCTGGGGCTGTGGACCAAGCCAGAACCCGGCTCTAAGATGGTTAAACTTAATCAGACCCACATGGACCCAGGGTACTGTAGACATGAGCACGCCCAGGCCGTAGGGAGCGGCGATTTCCACCACACCGTCACGACTCGGCCACCAGCCAGGCTGTCACTGCAGCCAGGGACTGTGCTATCCATTGTTCAGGCCTGATTTTATGTCATTCTCTCAACAGTTTTAGGAATTAGGCATGATCATCCTTATTTCACAGATGAGGACCCCAAGGCTCAGAGAGGTGAAGTAGGTGAAGCCAAGTCACACAGTCCATAAATCACAGAGCAGGGACCCGCCCAGGTTCTCTGCCAGTGAATAGCTGTGGGATTTTAAGCAAGTGCCTTCCGGGCCCTCTCTGGGCCTCAGTTTCTCATCTGTAGAATAATAACAGGGTCTACTTCACAGGGCTCTTGCTGTACATGAGGAAAGGTGGAAATAGTTCCTAGCTGTTGTTGTTACTGTTACTCATATTTGGAAACAAGGAAATTGAAGCTCAGAGAAGAGAGTTGATTGACCCAAAGATACACGCACAGTGAGAGGGAGAATTGGAACTGGCAGCCAGGTCTTCGACCCCACATCCAGGGCTCTCAGTCAGACCTACATCCTTTATACTTAGAAATGCTGATTGCTCAGCATCTGGTCACCTGTAACCTGAGTGTGAGGAGTGAGGGCTTTGGCAGAGGGAAGACAGCCCACAACCACTGGGTGTGATTACTGTGAGCAGCTACTTCCTTCTTCCTGCCTTGCTAACCTAGGAGCTGGGGATGGGGAAAAAAGCGATTTCTCTCCTGCTCTCCAAAAGGTCACAGCTTAATTGCAGGCCAGGGATCCCAGGGCTGCTCACCTTGCCCCTCACTGTCTTGACACGCACAGGGAGTGTCCAAGGCACAGAGAGGTTGGGCGTGGCAGGGCTCTGAGCAGCCCTCGGGAAGCCTGGATGCCCAGGCCCCTGACCGGCCCAGGCTGAACAATCACTCCCACAAACAGCTAAAAATACAGAGGGACGCACCACGCACACCCTACCCAAGGCCCAAGGCTGCGTATCACGTTACCCGGCCAAATCCTCCAGAACCTCCACGTGCTCCAGCAGGGCAGCTCAGAGGCGGCTGGCGGCCCAGAGCAGCCCCAGGCCCGCCCCACCGCCCCCAGCCCTGCCGCGCCAGACCCCACGGCAGGGGAGCCCCTCCTCTGGGCCCCACAGATGGCCCCTTGTGGCCTGGGCGGGGCGGGCTGCTCTTTGTGGCGCCCTTGCTGGGGTCAGGCATTGTGGGGAGCATTCTGTGCAGATCAGCTCAGCCACCAGGCGGGGGCAGGCATGCTCATCACCCCACTCTGCTGAGGAGGATGCTGAGGGCCCATCCCGGTCACCACAGGTTGCTTTTCCAAAGCAAGGGGTGGCTGAGCCAGAACCTTCTATGTGCCCTGACCTGGTTCCCAAAGCAGGAGAGAAGCAGCGGGGCCCCTCTGCTTCCTGCTCCGGACTCTGCCAGGGGATGAGGTTTCTATGCGGCTGGCCGTCCTGGGCCATGAAAAGCTGGTCCATTTCCTATCGATAAACCAGTATCGATTCTACAGGCTCTGCGAGACGGCCCGAGATGAGTTGAGAGAGGAGATTTTACATAAGCTCTGATGTGCTTAGCAGATGGTGCTGGAGGTCATTTCCAAAGTGCAGAGAACTGGAGGGAGAGCCCATCTTGACAGGCTTGTTTCAGTGGAAAGGAGAGAACCTGGGCTTCCCATCGGGGGTCCTGGCTTCACCTAGAATTCTCCACGTGACCTCAGTGAAGGGACCCAACTTCTCTGAGCCTTGGTTTTTCTCTTCTGTGAAATGGAATTGGCGTTGTGGAAGATTCTAGAATTTCACAGTCAGAAAGGACCTCAGCGACTTGATTGAGATCAAGCCTTCCCCTGCCCAGTGAATTATCCTTCAAAAACGTAGGAACCTTCTGGAGAATCTAAGGCAGAGGAGGGGTGTGGAGGATTCTGAGGGTGCCTGAGGGCTCCGGGGCCTTGGTCGGGTTTCATCTGGTTGGAAAGGAGGCTGCAGTGGTCCCTCTGGAAGGCCAAGTGTAGTGAAGCCTCCCTGGGTTCAGGAGAGACACGGTCCCTAGGACCCATCAGCACCCACAGGAAGCTGGGCAGGGCCAGGGCGATCCCTGAGGCGACTTCTGCCTGCAGCAGCTTCCACCTCCACCATGGGCACCCGGAGCCCTTACAGTGGCTTCTCGGGGTTTGGCAGGTTGGGGCCCAGGCCCCGGAGCCCGGGTGCTGGCTGCACCCTCTGCCCTAAGACCTTCCAACTGTCAGCTTGTGCAGCCATAGTGGCCAAATCTCCCACCTCCCGCTCCCAGGTCACCAGCTCCTGTCTAGAGTCACTACGTCCCTTGTGGAGTCCACAGCAGGACTCTACCCTCAGAAAAGCAGGAGAGCCAGGGGTCCCCTGGGGTCACACTGAGCAGGGAGGGTGGCCTGGATCTCCAGCCTCCTGTGCCCTCCTGTGTCCAGGAGCTCTCCCGCCACCAGCCCTTCTGTCTAGAGGGACAGTTCTTCCCTGAAACAGCTGAGCCCCAATCCTCCCTGCAGAGGTCTTTTAAAAAACGATGTCATGGCCCAGGACAAGGTCTAGGATGGCTGGCTTGCCCCCAGCCCCAGATCTGGCCTGCTGATGAGGGAATGCAATGTCACCCTGGCCTTCCTGGCTCTCAGCACATCCTAGGGACAGGCCTGGGGGGCTCCGTGCAGTTGGGTCAGAAATGGGGTGGGTCGAGAGACTAGAACTCACAGTGCCATATGGGTGTGACGTCCTGGACAGCTTCAAAGGCTTTTCAACCAAGCCAAGGGCTGCAAACCTCTGAGGTCAGGCAGATCTGGTGGTGACAGAAGCAAGCCACAGGCAAGAAAGGGTAGGGAGGGCCAGGACCACCCGACCAGAACATTCCTGTCCCACCTGAATGAGGTGGCTGTTCCACGGTGCAGGGATGTGGGTTCAGGGTTGCCATGGCTCCCGGGTTCTTTTGTATCAGATGCCACCAATCCACATTGGTCACATAAAGTCTCCCGTTGGATTAAACAAGAAGCCAAACAGAATCCCAAGGCCCCCGACCTCAGGGCCTCCTTGACCATCTGGAGCTGACCTTCAACAAGGGCTAAGACCTGAGGCAGGAGAGAGCCTGGGCTCAGCGAGAGAGGGTGGCAGACCACCTGGGCTGGACTCTGGACATCCAGCCAGCCTAGGAGCTGGTGGGGCTGTGTCACTGTCTACCACTGCCACCACACAGGGCTCTGCCTGAGGACCCGCTGCTCTGTGCAGCCAAGTTCTCTCTGAAGCCCCACCGCTTGGGGACCTCATATCTTCACCCTCTTCTCGCTGCCACCAGCCCCTGCATGCAGTCACCAGCACCATAGCGTCATCACCGTCACGCCACCGTCTCCCCCACTGCCACCTTCCCAGCAGAGCCCACGTGGGGCCTCACCGGGTGCATGGTCCTGGGGTGGGAACTGGTCCTTCTCTCCAGGGATCCTCTCTCTAACTTTTGTCTCAATGAACCTCAGGGCGAACAGGGCCAGGCTGGCATCCAAGGCCCACCTGGGCCACCAGGCCCCCCTGGACCAAGTGGACCTCTGGGGCACCCAGGACTGCCAGGGCCCATGGGGCCACCTGTAAGTATCCTTCCCCTGTCTCCTTCAACATTCAGCCCAAGAACTCTCTGGAAACCTCCGAACCTTGAACAGCCACAAGGAACCTGAGTTCCCGCTATAAAACCCAAGCACCTTGGCCAGGCTGCTGGACGTGGGTGGCCGTGTGAGGAGCTGCCTTCAGTGGCACTCCCCTGTTGCCCTCCAGCTCTGCAAACACACCTGCTGGGTTCATGTCCATGCCTGGCCTTCCTGTAGGGAGACCACCAATCGGCTCCCCCTTTCCCAGGCTCAGCAGAGAGCAACTTGGAGAGAAAATCTCCCAGGGCCACTTTTGGTGGCTGTCCCTGACCCCTGGGCTCAGGAAAACCCAGGTCAGAGGCAGTGGTTCTGAAAGGCTCCGAGGGGGCTGGAACACGCTTTCCACGGTGTGTGTGTGTTTCCCACTCTGGGCCCCCTGCCAGCCACTTAGAGGGACCAGCATCCAGCCTGAGAATTGGCAGGGCCTCCACTAGGAGGGGTCCAGGGGGCAACAGGGACCCCTTTCCAAGTGACAGGTCAAACCCAGTGGCCACCAACTTGCCCACGTTCAAGCCATGGCCCAGATCCTTCTCCTCCTCAGCCCATTAGCACAACAGAGCCGCTGGGCAGGACAACTCGGCATGTGTCTGGACTTCTCCAGAGAAGAAGGGAGAGGACCGGGTCTATATTGAGGACCGAGTCTATATTTTCAGAGGGACGGGGCTAAGGCAAAATCAGCTTCCCCTTTAATAATGTTTTTCCTGTGGGTTGGAAAAAAAGTTTTCTCTCTTATGACAAAGCTATCATGCATTCATTGTGGAAAAAAAAATAGGAACATAATGAGGAAATGTTTTAAATGGCCTCTTTCCCCACATTAGAGTTCACCCTGTTAACATTTTGGGGAGTCCTTCCTTACCAGCCATGAACAGGGTCCAGGTGGGTAATGTTGTAAATCCCTGAACAGTTGGCATGTGAAGTTCTTCACTTCATGTCATGAAGCTGTGCTGTATCAGAAAAGAGTCCCTCGTGATATCGATTTCGGGGCTGCTGGGCTGTTTATAACTTAGCGAATGAGTCCCCTTGTGCAATCTAGATCCTGGAACAAATGTTTGTGCACATCTCTGAGGGTGTCTCTGAGGTAGATCTAAGAGGTGGAACCATGGGTCCAGTGTCCAGACAAATGGCTTCCACTGTGACTGGCCACATTCGAGATCAGCCAGGCTTGAGTCTGAGCCCCTCAGCTCCCTCCTGGGCTGATCCTGAAACTCAGTCTTGGTTCCCTCTGGGCGGGGGACACTCTGTTTGGAAGGCCATTACCACAGTGTGAAAGTCGGAGTTACTAGAAGCTGGTTCCCTGCTCTGCTCGGCCCCAGCTCAGATTTTAAATCTTTCTGTAACGGACCCCAGAGAGGGAGATTGGTCTAATGTCCACCAGTCCTTACGTGGGAAAATGGAAAACCAGGAAGGAAGTGCATTTAGAAGATGAAACCAAACCAAGCCAAGAAAACCAAAGTGCTCTAAATCCCCCTCTCTGCTGACCAGGGCTCTCCCGCTCAACACAGGATCTCCCCGTCGCGGAACCAAGCCAGGTGGTTTTCTTTGTTAGGTTGTTTATAAGGAACAAACCAGAAAACAAGTTTTTAAAATCAACTGAAACAGGCCAGACCTAGGCATCGTGGTTTCCTGCAGCCCACGCTTGCTGCCCAGACCCACGCCCGAGACCGAGATGGAGCCAGCTTCCCCTGGCCTCTCCCTCTGGCTTCCAAAGGCCCCTGGTCCCACCCCACCTGACCACAGACAGCTGCTGTGGTCACAGCACCCTGGGCAGAGGGAAACAGCAGGCTCCTCTGAAGGTGGGCAGGGCCAGGGCAAAACTGAGGGCCTGCTGGGTAAGGCCGGTTTTCCAGGGAGGGGTCCCAATTAGGAGGCGGGTGGGTGAGGACCTAGACCACACCCCACGGTCAATTTAGCATGAGGTCACCGACCTAGTTTCCAGGGGCGGAGCCCAGCGGAGTTGCCCACGGTGCCCATGTGGTTCCAAAAAGGGACACAAGCCTGCTGTCCCCAAGTGCCCTCCGCAGGTTCCAGATGTTCCTCTAGGTGCTCTAGAACGGTTCTCTGCATACCTGTTCTCTCGTGATGGCTGTCAGGGGCCGCCCTGGCGCAGCCTGCACTATAAACTCACCTCACCTCGCTTACCTGTAGAAACCACCCCCACTCACCTATTTCTTGCTTCCACAGGGCTTACCTGGGCCTCCTGGACCGAAGGTGAGAGTCCTCCTGGGTGGTGCATCAAACAGGTGGGAGGGTTCCCTGCAGGAGGGGGCTGGGGAAGGAGCTGAGAGACCGGCCAGCTTGGCTCATTTCCAAGGCCCCGCCGTCCCTGTAGGAGCTGCTCCGGTTCCTGCCCGTCTTGACCCACTGCGGGTTCAGGCCTGAGCTGCCGCCGCCATAGAAAGTTCACGGTCTCATAAGAGACTCAAGGCAGATGCCTGCGACACCATCACAATATCCCAATAAAATGGTGTTCGCAGGGTTTCAGAGCTGGAAGCCACCTTGGAGTCATCTGGTCTCTCGTGGAACCTTGCACAGAAGCCCACAATGTCAAAGAGACCCTCCCTTTCGAGCCGAGGGCTCTGAGGCTCTGGGGACAAGGACACTGATTTCACCCTTCCATTTTATGAATGTGGGAGCCGAGCATCCTGGGAAAAGTGGCTCATCCACCTTCCACAGAGTCGTTGGTGGAACCAGAACTGACCACCAGGGGTCCTGAGTCCCTGCCAAGCTGGCCCTTCCCAGAAGGCCTCAGCCTGTGCACACGGGGACTGTGTTGATGAGCAGAAGAGTCCCCAAGGAGTCTTGTCCCAGGGGTGGCTGGAGGTGGCTGTCGAAGGGGCCCCTAGAGATTTGGAGTTGTTGGGAGGAAGGGAAGTGGTATTGTGTGGGAGCCGTGTGGCCGTTTGGGCCTTGGGAAAATCACCTAATGGTTGTCTCTTTCTTCCCAGGGAGACCCGGGGATCCAGGGCTACCACGGCCGGAAGGTAAGAAGGAGAGGAGAACCCTAGCCCTGGGCAGCCACGAGGGGCCCCACGGAGCCCACAGAGCTGGGCTCGGTTAGGCACGAGTACATTGGACATGTACCACCCCGTGTGAGCTTCGCGTCACTTGTGAGGTTGCCTGAGCAGGGTTCAGTGTTTCCACTGGGAAAAAGACAGGGGCAGAGACAGGAGGGCTCTGGGCCTGGCATACCTCAGGCCCAGGAGAATCCCTTGTGCCCCCCTGGGCAGCCATGTCTGGACTGGTCCCATGGAGGTCTGATAAGTAGAAGGAAGATTATAGGACCCTCCCTGGGTATGGCTCCATGCTGAGCTTGGGGACCATGGGTGGGGACCACCCTGCTTTCTGACAGCTACCAGATCAGGAGACAGAAGCACTCCTGTACAAATAGCCCTGGTGTAACAATATGGTACCTCACAAGGTGCTTGTGCATACAGGGGTGGGGGGATGCAGGTAAGGAGGGATTCCAGAAGTGCCCTGGGAGAAGACAACCAAGAGCTCAACTTTGATGAGTGGGGACCTGTGTCGGTCAGCTATTGCCACGTAACAATCCATCCCACGTGTCTGACTTAAAACAAATATTTATTCCACATGATTTACGCATTGGTGACCTGGGAGTTCTGCAGGTCTCACGGCTGGGGGCCTCTGCTCTCTTCCCCGTGGCCTTTGTCCTCCAGTTACACGGGCTTCCTTACACCATGGCAGACCCAGGACAGCATTCAAAATGAGCAGCTCTCGGGACCCAGGCACTTTCCCAGCACCTGCTGACATCCCATTTTATCAATGCCCTAAAAGTCAAAGCAAGTCACATGACTAAGTCATGTGCCTCAGCATAGGAAGGACCTTGGTCTCCACTGCTTGATCAGAGGCGTAGCAGAGCATCTGTGGTCATTTTCAGTCCACTCCTGCCATCCTTTCAGCCTGCCAGTTTGAAGGGAGATGTTATTTTAGACAGGAAACAATTCGAGCATGGGCCCAGGAGCAGTCGTGACGGTGACTGTAAGAGCATAATAACATTTTTCATCATAGTCACTACTTACTGAGCCCCTGCTACACTCCCTACTCCATCCCTCCACCTGGCCTGTTTCTAATCCTATCAGCCTGGCGCGGCCCTGCTTCTGTTTAGTAGGTGGGGAAACTGAGGCTCGCGTCATGGCTGGGAAGGAGCAGAGCAAGGATTCAAGTCCAGATTGGGGTTCTTCCAGTCTCACCTGCTGCTAGGAGCTCATCCTTGCCCTCCAGCCCCTGGATGGGAAGCTTCCAAAGCCTTCCAGGGGAAAAAAAGAGGCAGGATGGAGAGGCACCAGGAGGAGGAAGGCATGTTGGAAGGGGAGGACCCATTCAACCATGAAACACACTCCTCACTCCTGCAAGAGGGCGGCTGCCATCACCACGTTGTTTTATGGGTGCTTGGCGGGTGAAATGCTGAGGCCTGAGAGATCTTTAATTAGTTCTGCATAAACTGAGAAACTTGTAGTATGTCAGGAAGTGGAAATTATAGCTCCCACAGTTGCCTCTATCCACTCATGCAGACTCACAAAATTTACTGCCTCCTGGTGCAGCTCAGGGTTGGTTTTCCAATTAGAAGCCAGACCAGCTCTCTCACGCTGTGAAGGGGCTGAGGGGCTGGAAGAGGGTCCCCCGGGGTCATGGTGAGGCCCTGAGCTGGCATCATACCATGTTGGGTGCCTGCATCTGCTGCAAACCAGAATTCTGGTTCCTCCGAAAAGGAGGCATACCTCAGGCCCAGGAGAATCCCTTGTGCCCACCTGGGCAGCCATGTCTGGACTGGCCCCATGGGGGTCTGATAAGTAGAAGAAAGATGACAGGACCCTCCCTGGGTAGAGCTCCATGCTGAGCTTGGGGACCATGGATGGGGACCTCCCTGCTTTCTGTTGTTCTGGTCTGTTGTTCTGGGGATGCAGAGGCCCCAGCTGAGGCTGGGTGTCCTGACGCCAGAGCACCTGGGCCCGGGAGTTTGGCCATCCTAGGTGCAGACTGTAGCAAGAATCCTTCAACTCTGGCTGCATTGAATTTGCAGAGACAAACAGGGTGCTCCAGGGCAGCTCCTGGCCCCAAGAAGCCAAGAGGCTAGCTCTGGGGATAGAAGGAGGCTCCTTCAAGCACCACTTGCTGAGGGTGGGGACAGGTGACTAGGGAGGAGCAAATGCCCTCCAGGAAGAGCAATCCCAGCTCCACCAGAGGAGCCTCCCAATGCCCAGGTCCTTGGGACAGAGTGGGGGAGGGACGCAGGGGCTCCCTTCCTGGGCTGTTCAAGTGGCAGGTGGGTAACGCTGGTCTGCGTCGTGTTCAGATGGGAGACTGGGTTAAAAGTTCTCCCAGTTCAGGGAAGCCATGGCTTGCTGGGGACAGGTTGGCTGCACATTGCCTGAAGGAGCAGCCCCTGGCTTTCTGACTTGAGCTCTGTCTGCCTGTGTCCAAGTCTTCTAAACCCACATGCAGAGCTGTCAGAAGCATCAGCACTCTCAGGGCTCACAGGAAAGAGGAGAAGGCCCTCCTCTCCGTGCTGGACTCTCGCCTCCCTCCCTTCTTTCTCTGCCAGACCACCCGGCTCTGCTCTTCCACCACGGCTTCTTCTCTTGCAGTGTGGAGAGGCTGGGGACCTGGCCCCCCTCCCTGCTTCTCTGGATCCCTGGAAGGCTCCTGCAGTCCTACAGGCTGGTGGCTCCCAGCCCAGGACAACAGCAGAGGGTCCCACTCCCAAGGATGTGGGGGCACTCCTCAGCCCCACAGGGATTGGTAGGTGTCTTGACCCTAGTGATTGCCACGTCTACACGGAAATTCGCTTCCCCTCAGAATCCCGAGATGAAGAGTTTTTTTGTTTTGTTTTTTTTCTCTTTCTCTCTTTTTTTTTAATCGTTGATGCCCAAAGACAAGTTTGCAATACTTTGCGTCTCTGGGTTAGCCAGAGTTCAATCATAGGCTGCCTTGCTTGGTCCTGTCGCCCAGTGGTTAGAGCTCCTCCTCCCATGGTATAGATAAGACGTTCAGAGAGGTTAGCCCTGCGCCCAAGATTGTATAACTAATGTACAGCATGCTGGGATGAGAAGCCACGTCTCTTGAATCCACACCTGACGGCAGCCTTAGACCACCCTCCCCGTGGTTTCTCTGGGATGGGGAGGCTGATCTCCAGAACTCCCTCCCTGAGCCCAGCAGCCCTCCCCTCCCTCTCTTCTCCCTGGGAAGAGCTCAGATAGGAGGCTGAAGGGGGCGTGGTCACACCTGCTTGAAAGCTGCATTTGCTCCCGCCCACCACCCCAGGGAGGAGCTGGAGCCCATGGGTGGGAATAGGGCTGAGACAGAGACCATGTAACTGCCCCTTGCTGTCAGGGCATGAGGGGACCCAAGGGGTCACGCACGGATCCACCACGGGAGTGTCCCTTGACACATGTGCAGGGAGGTCTCTTTCAGCCCAGGGTAGACCTGAACTTCTCAGCCTGCTGAGGATCAGCCCCATCCACTGCTACCTCAACCCTACTGCTGGACTGGGCCTGGCGTCTTCTTAAAGGCCAGCAAGGCCGGCTTCTCCACCAGCTTCTCAAGACCAAAGCCCAGCGCAGTCTGTGCCCACTCGGGCCAGCCCTCCTGCCTAGACCCTGCAAGCATCGCTGAACACCCACGTGGTACCAACTCCATCAAGCACGCGGCAAGATACAGAATGTGCTCAAAGCATCGCCTCCTTGGCTCCCTTTCAGGAGAGTCACTGTCAGACTACGTGGGTCACAAAACCTGAGGGGAGCTCATCTCCAGGTGTATCAGAGCTGGTACTCATCCCAAGTGGGGGTGCAGCTGCCGCCTCTGCCCTGGGGTGTTAAGCTCCGGCGTTCGCATGGAGAACCAGGCTGCGGCTCACAGTGCCTCCTGCAGGCTGCTCCAGACCAGAGGAGCCCGGATGCCAGGGCCACCGATGACTGCCCTTGCTCCAGGAGGCCTTAGAGACAGTCCTCGGGGCAGGGGCGCCCAGGGAGGAGAGCTCAGGAGCAGCCCCACCTCATTCTCCTGTCGGAGGGTGCGATGATTCTGACCTGCCCGTCAGAACAAGGACCAGGACGTCACTCTAGAACTACGGGCAGCGTTGTTATGACTGCCTTTCCCAGTCTCCCCTACAAGCGAGGCTGTCCCCGTCTCTCTACAAGCACCGTTTTCCTGTCTCCCTGTGACAGCCCCGTGAGACGGGTCTCACTCCTACCCCAGCTTACAGAAGAGCACCTTGGGGTTCATAGAGGCTCTCCCCCCGGCCCACAGACAAAAGGTGACAGAGCCGGGGCTGCCTGATCCCAGAGCCTTACTCGGAGGGACTTTACTCCCCGTGTTGCTTGGGCCTCAGGGACCCCAGGATATCCAGTAAGCCTCCCCCTCGGTCCTTCCATGGGAGAAAGCAGAGGTGGACGCTGTTCTCATAAGAAGGCCATGACTGGACTGAGGCCACCGGGCACCTCCAGCCCTACCTGGAGGACCTGTGGCAGAATCACAGAGGACTTGTTGCCCTGTTCGGTCAAAGACTAAGGAAATGGAGTGCTTTTCCCACTAGCATCCCCCCACACACTGATTCCCCAGGCGGTTGGGACTGTCCCTGACATCCAGTGCCACCATGCAGCTTCTCTCCACCCTCTGCGACAGCTCCTCCTGAAGGTCCCTGCACCCCTGCTGCTCCCCGAGGGCCCGAGTGACCCCAGGCCTCCAGGGGCGTTCTCATGCTGCAGAGGGCTCCGGACAGATGGGAATCTGTGGGGGTAGGGACAGCATTTCCTTTCAAAGCCATGAAATCTCAGTGGGGATGTCCAGACCATTTAAATTAAAGCAGATCAGAAAACTGAGACACCAGCCCCAGATCTGAGGCCCCCCGGGGGCTGCAGGGACGCCAGCCCCCACCCCGCGCTCTCTGAGCCCGGTTTCTTCTGTACTCCAAAGTCCACAGATTAATTAGAGCTGACTTTTCTTTTTGGAACTAACTACAAAATCAACCGATCTCAAATTGAGATTACAAGCCAGCCGCCCTTCCAAAGCCCTGGCCTTCCATGGGGCGCCCGACCCCGGTAATTCCCTAGATCACTTCCTGCCGGCCCTAATTACCGGAGGACCTGGGATTTCCGTGGTTCCGGTCCTTATTGGTCTGGAGACTGGCTGGGGCAGGGAAGCAGGAATTGAGCTGTGTTTTTCCCGGAAGGGAGGCCTGGGAACTTTTTCTGGGGGGAGAAAGGCATGAGCACCCCACCCCCATGGTTTCCAGTCCAGGGAAGGGCCCTGGTCCCGGCCTGTGCCTGCTGCTGCCTGCTGCGCCCCCAGCCCTCCACCCCCCACTCAGCCAGGCCTTCCTCCTCCCCTGCAGAGAACAAAGGCTCCGTGTTCCTTGCCTTCAGCCCCGGGCCCTCCCCACCCAGACCTCAGGTTACAGGGGTCCATCGTGTCCTGGAGTTTCCTGGCCTGACCTTTGTTTGGCTGGGAGCTGACCTTGAAGCCCCCTACCTCCCTCTAGACCATCTCAGTCGCCAAGTCCCTGCCCAGCCCCTTCAACAGACAGTAAATCACCCATTGAGAAGCCACTCCTACAGGACCAGAGCGCGGCCAGGTGAACTCGGCAGCGCTGGCTCGCTCTGTCCTGTCTTGAAGGAGGGGTCTTCCACCTAGAAGCTGCGCAGAACAGAGGACCTATTGATGCCACACTGCGCTCCCGTGCAGCCTCCCCACCCCCACCTGGAGCCTGAGTGGCAGCTCTGAAGTGGAGGCTGGGACAGGCCTCGAAGACCAGGCAGGGCAACCTCTCTCCACCCCCAGGGCCCTCCCTAGGGGGCCTCCTCAGCTTCAGCAACTGCAGCCCACCTTTTCCAGGTCCTGGTTCTTGGCATCAAGTTTAAAGAGCCAGCCTCCCAGAGGGGTGGCCGGGCACAGCTTCTGCCCTCACGCGCCACGCACATGGACCAAGACTCTTGGTCACTCTGGGGACGCCCACTTCCCCAGCCACAGAATGACCCTAGATGGCTGAGAGCCCCTGGGGAGCCCGTGAGGTCCCCACGGGGAAGACCAGGAAGGGAGGAGCAGAGACAGATCAGAGCCCAGCAGCCCCTGAAGACCCGCCCAGTCCTGAGCCCGTGGATGGAAACTGCGGCCGACTCCGGACCGAAAACGTTGAAAATAAGAAAACAGAGACAGAGTGCTCTGGATACATTCACAAGGACCAGCCACAAGCAAGGCCCCGCGATCGGAAGTGTGTCCCCATCCTCCTTCAGCCAGATGTCTCCTGCCTGTGTGCCCTTGCCCGGGTGACCCTAGACCCTGGAGGATTACTGTGGCCCCCTCTCACCTCATGCACGGTCAGGAAGCAGGGTCTCCTGGTCTAGGAGAGACCAGCACCACCCCCAGCCCTGAGGTCAGGCAGGGCCAAGCCCGCAGCCTGGGGCCCTGAGCCTGATTCTAATGATGGAGGAGGGAGCTGCAGGGTGGGGTCACCCAGGAACCCCTGCTTCCTGCCCAGCAAAGCAGGGGTGGGGCCTAGAGGGGGATCAAGGGAGCTTGGGTCATTTGCAGAATTAACCGACTTGACCCAGAGGAGAGGGAAGGGCGAGGTCAGCCACCCTGCCCAGGAGGCCACCTTCCTAGGAGGCTCCGGGGAGCTGGGATCACATGGTGTGTCTTCCCGTTCAGACCCACGTGGGCCGAGGACCACGCCAGCGAGCCGAGACCTCTCACGCTGGTTTTGTTCTGCACAGTCTCTTCAGAGAGGAGCGTGAAGCAGGCCCCACCTTTCCATCTGCCCTCCAGTTTTAGGGTGCTTCTCCCCGCCATAGCCGTGGGCAGGAGGAGGGACCAGAGCCCCCAGGACCCCTCCCAGAACTGCATCTGCATTCACAGCTAAGACTCCCTCCCCAGCCGGGCCTTCATCTTGAGCTGTCAACCTAGAGAATGTCCCCACCTCTCCTCAGGGTGGTGCAGAGGAGCCAGGATGGGGCTGGGTGGCGGGAGAAGGCGGGAGCTGGCCTCTGGTCTCATCTAACTGTGCAAATGAGGAGCCTGGGGCAGAGAGGGCAAGTGGCTGGCAAAGAGTCATACAGACGCCCCAAAGGGCCGTGGGAAGAGGGGGGCTGGAACCTGAGGGAAGCTGAGGGAAAGAAGAAGGGAGGAGAGGCCCCTGAACAGTCAGGGGCTCCTAAGATGATCTCCCACCTGTACCCCACCAAGGGATTCCATCTGGGGACTCCAGGATGAGTCAGCCTGGTGGAGCCAGTTGGAGTGTTAGCAGGGGATCCTGGTCCTTCAAAAGAAAGGGTGACGGGGCCCTCCACGGACGCTCCTAAGAAGGGCCTCTGAGCACCATCCCAGTCAACTTCAGACGAGATCCTGTCCCGCCCCCTGCTGGCCACAGTGCAGAGCTACATGCCAGGCAGGCCCAGAGGCTCTCGGGGCTAAGCAGCCCTCCCTGTAAGTGAGCTGAGCTGCCTCCAACCCTAGGGGTCACCGACCCAGGAACCCAGCAGAGGGTGTTTGGTGCTTTGAGCTTGCTGTGATGATCTGGTGGAGGCAGACAGAGCATCGGTGTGTCTGACATTGGGGCGGCCAAGGGAAACAAGTACCTGGGCTTCATCAGGCAACAGACGTGTGTCCAAAGCCCTACTCTGCACCAACCTGGCAATCACCCCAGCCTCTCTGAGCCACTGTTGCTTACCCAATAGACGGGAAGAGCATCGCTCCACAAGAGAAAGGACACTTGGAGACCCTGTAGCTGGAGAATGGAAAGTGAGGACCCCAGAGCCGGACAGGGAGTATGCAGGAGGCAGCTGGGCCTCGCTCTGCTCTTTCCATAAAGTGGGACTTAGCAGCTGGGGCAGACCTGGCTGCCCGCTGGCCTGCTGTGGCCCCCTCCTGAATCTGGCTCTGCCCTCCCCCATCTGTGGATGAGGGACATTGGTCAGGTTGAAGGAGGGCTCTGGCATTGGGAGGTAAAAATTCAGGCACTGAAGAGGATGAAGGTGAAGCATCCCAGGCACACGTGACTCTGGGTGCAGATGGCAAATGCGAAGTGCTGATGTGAGGAGCCAACGAGGGCCATTGGGGGTCACAAAGGGCTTCATGGAGCCATGGTGTTGGGCCAGGGTTTTGAGTTGAGGAAACAGCAGAAAGGCATAGAGTCATGAGACTGGGTGGTGTTTCCAGCAGTGCAGATAAGAGCCGATGCACACCAGGGGACCAGGGGACCAGGCCAGAACGGAGGTGGCCCTTTTCCTACAGTCAGTACTGGGCAGTGGGTGTTGAAGTAGGGGAGTCTCATGACCCAGCCTGTGTGTGGGAAGCTTGCCTGGACTCCCGAGTGGAGGAAGAGCGGGAAGTCACACTAGCCATGGCCAGGAGAGGGGCAGACCAGCAAGTCCCGTAAGATGGCAGAATGGGCAGAGTGGACAGCTGGAAAGCTAGGGGGCTGGGGGCAGGTGGGACCAGGTGACCCTCTGCCTTTAGAAGCCAGAAGGGCTTGCAGCCTGGTCCAGGGACCACAGCACTCGGACCCCCCATAGGACGGCTCCCAGGAGCAGGGTCTGTCAGGGCTCTGGTGGCCCATGGCATAGACTTCAGGTGGAGGAGGCTGCAGCAGCCTGGGAGCTTCACCTATTGCTGGACAACATCCTGGCCCCGGCTGCAGCATCCTGCTGGGGCATCCTGTGGAGTTCAGCTCACGGAGACAGGGTGGCCCTCCCCCTCCCCTGACATGGCAGGTTACGTCTTGGCCCACGCACCTCCTTGTGGCGTGTCCCCTCTTTCTGGTCTTACTCCTCCCCCATGGATCTGGAATTTTCAGGGGGAGACAAAGAGGTTGAAGATAAAGAGGGGCAGAGCAAACCTGTGACATCCCAGACAGGTGACAGTTCAGCAGGAGCCTCTGGGTGAGCAGAAACAGGAAAGGACACCGAGAGATAGACGGGCAGCACCCAGGCCCAGACCCACTGGCCCTGGGAAGCATTAGACCCAGGTGACGTGGGAGGGGAAAGACCTCAGATGAAGAGAGGCAAGGCCACCCTGGCCCAGCTGACAGGTGCAATGCTGGGAAGCCTGCTGGGACAAAAATGGGGAACAACTCCCAGACAGGGGCCCAAGGGAAGGTGGTCACTGGTTAGCAGCCACTGGGCTGCGCCATGCTCCAGGTCCTGCCTGGTCACAAGGTGGCAGTAGATCTTGAGCATGTCACCTCCCACTCAGATTCCACTGGGCAGGCCTCTGTGGGGGCCCTTCCTGCTCGATCTGTAACTTGGTCCTTCTGCAAGTTGACGTCACTTGGCCAAGGGCACTGGCCCACGTGGCTGCACCCACAGCAGGGTCCTCAGAGCCTGTGTACCAAGCTTCCAGCCAGGCGGGTCTCGCTGACTTCCCTGCAAGCCACAGGCCCGGCGTCTGGTCCCCTTCTCATTGTTTTTCTTCTTTCTTCCTTCAGGGAGAACGGGGTATGCCAGGGATGCCGGGCAAGCACGGAGCCAAGGTACCTGTCCCTTGCACACCCCAGGCAGTCCCCGAGGCCCCTCCCCGGGGGTCAGGCTCTGGCCCCCTGCTGGGTGCACACTTCCTCCCTGGACCCTCTCCCCTGCAGCGCTTGCCTGTCCCCCAGGTAGGGGCAGGTGGGGCTCTATTTTGGCCCACAAGTGATCCCTCACCAGTGCCCCCACCCACGTGGCCAGGTCTCCTCCTGGGACATCTGGTCATAAGGAGACTCTCAGATGACTCAGCTCCGGCTGTGGGCCTGAGACCCAAGTAAGAAGCAGGGACCCTTCGAAAATCATCTTCCCCGTCCCCCTTGGGATTTACTAATTAGCACTTTGGGTCACCTGTTCACCTACGGTACATCATCTTGCATTAATATAAAAGTGGGGTTCATTCTCAGCCATCCCTAACCCATGAAGGCAAAGGACCAGAGAGTTCCGGGGGAGCTTGACCCCACATCCACACTCCAGATTAACAACATGATCAAACCAGTCCCTTGGTTTTGTGTCCTCTGCAATTCTCCCCTCCCCCAGGGGCCTCATTCTAGACCCCTCCCCTCCATCTCCTCCTTCTTTCATGTTCCCGTGAAGCCCCTCTTCCCTCTCAGGGACACCCCCTGGAGCCCTGTCTATCAACCCATGGTCCCTGCAGTGCCTCTGTAGAAGCCTGGCAGGCCTGAGCCTCATGACCAGTGTGCCCACTCCGTGCAGGGCACTCTGCAGGGGCGGGGGTGCTGGGCTCCAGCAGAAGTGCGCAGTCCTCCTTCACCCCCTCCCCACCCCGGGAAAGGGCTAGCGTGTCCTCCGTGCTCCAGACCTAGGAAGCTTTCATACCATTTTTTTCTTTCTGCCAGGGGGCTCCTGGGATCGCCGTGGCCGGAATGAAGGTCAGTAAACCCTGAAATCCCACACAGGGCAGGTTGGGAGAGCTGGCTTGGGAGGTCAGCTGCAACAGCAGGGGCTCCATGGCATGGTGGCTGGACTGAGGAGAGGACAGACAGGATCAGGAAACATTTTCCTCAAAGCAACATTCATGCCAGATGCACCACCTTAAGACAGATGTTGATGTCTTGCAAAAAGGTAGTGAAGCTTTGCCAGCCCTCACAAGCCTGCCAGTGCACAAAGGGAAGCCAGTTCTTTGCCATGTGCTCTAAAATTCAGCAGCTCCATGCTTCTGAAGCTTCAGAGAGGATAGCAGGAGTGATTCTCCTGAACTTCCACCCTAAGCACCCATTCAGTTGGCAAGAAGAGGCACCTTGGAAGACATTGCACAGGACTACCTAAAGGGGGCGCTGTGTCCAAACCAAATGTCCATCCCTTCCTCTCCTTCTTTTGGGTTCCCTGCTCAGGCTCACATGTGCCACCCCCTCAACTGGGGGAAGGGTAGGACCCTCTAGGGACCCACAGCCCAGGAGGTCTCCCATAGCCTGGGACTGCCTGCCTGAGCAGAGGAAAACCTGGAGTGGCCCCATGTCCCACTGACACCCCCACATACCCACAGTACCTTAGCCTTAGTGCTCTCTCTC